GTTTCTAAAAAAAGTTTTGATCTAAATTAACTGAAAAATCATTGCCCTTCTCAATAGTTCAATAGAACATGGCAAATGAAAGCCGGTCAAGAAATTTTCACCACTATGATTTGTAGTATCCTTTTATAACCATAAAAATGCCATTTGCACATTAAACTGATTCCGCCGGAATATTTAGGAATTTATATTACAATTTTTTCAGTTTTGATGAATTTTTTTGCAGGAAAAAAAAATGTGCGATTTTTCGAGTATTCTAAAAATTTCATAAATTAATTTCATAAATATTTTTTAAATATTCCGATATTCGCAATTTATTTAATAGACCATTTATTGAAATTTATTTAAATAAATAAATAGAGAATTTTTATTATTTCATTTTGTCTTTCTAATGCATCTTTTTTGTTTGTAGAATTTTTTTTTCTTGCAATGATCGTATCTAAAAATCAACTAATCAGTGATTTTCAAGGATCATTTCGTAAATAAAAAATTTGAAAGATTTCAAAAAAACTAATTAATCAAAAATTTTTTTCAGGCTTACGTAATGAATTAAGATGAGGATGTGCATTTAGATAATGAGACGCCTTACCTTATCAAAGAATGAATGTTTCTTGGCACAATAAGGTTGAGCCAAGAAACATAGCCAAGATTTAAATTAAAGTAATTCTAATAATAACAGTGATAACTATCTTGATAATCGCCGATTATCTAAATTTTATAATAAAAATTTTTTTTTTAAATGTAAAAATTTTTCAGAAAATTCAAAAAAGCTTTGGTCTCACGAAGTGAAAAAACGAAAACATCGATTTACCTATCTTTAAGGTGACAAAATTTCGGGACTTGCACCGATGCGCATATTTTAATTTATTACTTTTAGTACCAGAAAATAATGAACTAAAACGCATGGAAAATTGTAAAAAAAAGTGAAATGGGTCAATTGTTTAATACAGTTTCGAATATTAATGAATGAAAAACGAGCATCTTAATTAATGTAATAAATCAATGGTGAAAAATGGTAAGAAAATAAATGATTTATGAAAGGTGAATGAAAATTTAAAAAAAAACATAGGTAAAAAGAAAGGAAAAATCCAGGACAAGAAACAGGAAAAGCCGACTGGAAAGAGAGAAATTCCGAAAAATTCACTGAAAATTCGTTATTGAATTTGCCAGCGATCTCTTCACAACGGTTTAAAGTATTCTCTACCATAAGATAAGTCAAATCAAAACGAAAATGTTTTGGAAATGTTAAGCCGATGAAATTTTTATTTTTGAAAAGAAAAGTAATTTTATGCTTATGTTCCATTTCAGCTGAAGAAAATTGATATTTTTAAAAGATTTTTTTTTCGAAATTTTCTAATTTTCTTAAAGAATTATTAAAAATTCGAAAATATTTAATAGAATAAAAAATAATTTATTAGAATTTAGAATGCAATAAAACGATTTTATGGCTAAAAAATCATAAATTAATCGTTGGAGAGATAAAATGGCTCAGTGGATCGCTGTGTTCATTTCGAAGCACCGATACTGAAGTTCTATTTTCAGCGGAAATAAGTATGTCTTTCAAAAACCCAGTGGAGTGATTTTCATGATCACGCGATAAAATCGCGAAAAATCGCGATTTTACGCGATTTGAAAAACTATATTCCTCAGTATATTCTTTTTTAAAATTCTTTTATTTCTTTAATCACGTAGTGCTTCTCTGGCAAAATCTGGCTGTCTGTACTGGCAGTACGATGGTTCCAAGCTGTTATATCTGTTATCTTATATCTGAACGTAACAAAAACCACTCCATTCTCCAAAGCTATTGCTAGGCTGCCGATATTTTCAAAATCTCTTCTTTATCATTCTTGATTGGCTCTCCTCACTTTTGGCGCATTCATCATAGAACTCCAAGCATTTTTTTAGTGATAATTGATTTAAAAATTCGAAATTCGAGAAGTTTCATTCCTACTTTTTTAGCATTTTTAAAATCTTTAAAATATGTAATAAATTTTTTTTTTCAATTATGAAATTGCAAAAAATTAGTGCATTGTCCGAGTCAATTTAAAATTATTTCAATTGAAAATAAATCATTTTCTTGTGCGATTTCAATGATAATGATAATGATAACGTAACGCAATGATAGCGTAAATTTAATAGAGATATAATTGTAATTCACCAAATGAGAGTTATTTTTAAAAAATTTTTAAATTTTAAATTTAAATTTATATTTTTTAAAAAAATTGTCCCTAAAAATAATCCATCTTAATCGTTGACTCGTTAATCTTCGCAGAGATTTTTGAACGAATATTAAAAGAATAGCTGAAAAAAAAATTTTTTGTATTTTAAATTAATTATCCATTGTCCATCAATTGTCCATTCTTTTTTTGAATTATAAAAGGTTTCCTTAGGAGATATATTTCGATAATGCAACGACACCAGTATAGGCAGTGAATTTTGTATGTGAAGACGCTGTCAACGCTGAATGGCGTTCGATTGCAGTGCCTACACAGCAATGAAAATGCTTAGAATCTGATTAGGCATGAAAGTTTCCACTCTCATAATTGTTCGCAAATAATTCGCAAATATGCAAAAAAGAACTACAGATGGATGAGAATGTTCGTGTTAAATGCTTCATTCCATGATAATTCAACTCCAATGCTTGATTATTTCATATAAGAATGGTTCTATGATATTAGAAAATTGGCATCGCTTCAATGTTGTATTATAGGTATTTCATCGTCAATGACAAGTATTTAAGGCAGAAAAAAAAGTTTCGTTCAAATTTTTAATATAATTTTCGGAATTTAGATAAATTTTATTATAACAATTGATAAAAAATTATCATAGTTTCAACGTATTGATAACTCATTGATACTTTGAAATAATTTGCATACCTCTTGAATGCCTATAAATTTCGACCATAATGCAGTCAATTATAATTGAAGACTATAGGGCATCAGTTTCTTACCTACTCTTACTTATTTACTTGATATACATTATACATAGCATATATTATTTACATACTGGAATCGATGGGCTAGCGCTCTAAAATACATTCAGCAAGCCAAGTCTGCTTTGGATTAGTCTACTCTCTTATCTCGAAATGATCTCACGGGGGGCTAACCCCGTTATTCGATAAAAAGAGACGACAAAATCAATGAAACATGCGCCGATACTCGGTGTTCCAATATTCTTAGAACAATCAAGAAGCTAAGTCCAGTGTAAGTGATTGCGCCTTGCTGATACCATTCAACTGGAGAGGGAAAGAATTCTCAGAAATATCCAACCAGCATGTATATGATATGTGATAATCAGATAGCTTATCTTATCAGCTTTCTCATCTGGGAGCAATAAATTGGCTTTGCTTCAACTTTCTGCTTTCCCTTTTGCTCCTATTATTGAATAAATCTTCTAAGAGAAGTTGCAAAAGGTGTTGAAAAGTTCCTATCAGCAGCCATCTTCTCCTGAAATTTCATAGGTTTTAAATCCTAAGCCATGGATAAAATTTCCTGTTCACTTTTTTATTCTTTTCCAATTGCAGTCAATTTCTGTGAAGTCGCATCGGGTTTAGGTCTTAGAGAATTCCCTCTATCGATAATAGCGATCTTTTTCCATTTTCCATTTTTCCAGTTTTAATTGCCTTACATAGGGGGCCTATTCGAACAGATTTCCATTTTCCGTATCCATTCACTCCAATAATAATTTCTATTCTGCTAACGGGTTTTCCAGCAATTAAGCCCTTTTTTCATGAACACAACCTTCTTGTTTCGAAAAATCCTTAGTCGGGAGGTCAGTACCAATACAGTTGTTCCACTGGTGCCGTTAATGGTGCAGTTTAAATCACTGAGGTTTTTTCTATTTGCTTCTATAATTCTTACTTTCTGAATTTATGTATACTTCTACACTTCTATTTACGATAAATCCTCCTTTCACCATAGATTACATCCATTCTTCAAAAACTTTCACCACAGAATATGCCCACATTTTATGAGACTTAACTTTTACCGTAATGTAATGCAAAGCAATAATTATATAGTTACATCAAGACAAATAGGTTCTGCAACGAGTTTTCAAATATGCTACCGTATCATCCCTGAAATTGAAATATTTGGAACAAAGCCAACTAATGGGTATAGGATTATTCAATAAGGGCGAGGTGTTGTTGTGGTTCTATTGTGGTTTGGGGAGGTCGAGTACTTACCAGGTACATAGCCAAGCGAGTGGAATAATGTCTGGAATGTCTAAGGTTGTCGATGGTCGATTGATCGTTTCTTTAACAATGTAAAATTGAAGTTGTCTTTTTGTTTTTTTTATAAATCTTTATTGATCTTTTGTCCATTTTTATTCATTTATTGATTTTACGATGATTCAATTGATTTCGTTATTTTATTCTGTTATAATGTATTCGTTTTCCAATTGTTGTTTTCAGCGTTGTTTTTAAATGAAATTTCTAGTGAAATTATTTTGTTTAATAATTATTTAAATATTTTATGTAGCCAAAGTTTGAATTTCGTTCTTCCCGCGTCTCAACAATATTTTTTCCCCTAAGGTATTTTTGTTTGTTTTGCCTTTTTCCACGATCTATCGAGGGGTTTTCCTCCTTAACGTCCATAATTTGGAAGTTTATTATTTTCTTTTATCTTCTTTTTGAATCGTCCACATAAAATATTCCCTATATAAAATATTTTTCAGTAAAAACATAGTCAACCGACACTTTAAAATCTTTGCTCTTTATGGTTTTCTATTCCGATATCTGCGAGCATACGATTTCACGAATTTTGAATTTTGTTTCTTTCTATTTCTTTGCTTCCTTCCATTTCTATTTTCTCTCGTTTTTATTCTTCTCTTACTTTTCGTCGTTGAAATATTTTTGCGGTTATTACTATAGATCAATTTGATTATATTCGTATGTCTCTGTGGCTATACATCCGGGAAAATTGGTTTAGAAACCACGAAATCATTTTTTCCTCATGATGTTTTATTTAAGTGTATATAAACTGATCTGATCGAGAAGTTTACTGATGGCACCTCGGAAGGGAAAAATCAAAGAAGAACAACCAGTTGTAACTCTTGGTCCTCAAATTAAAGAAGGCGAAAAAGTTTTTGGAGTTGCACACATTTTTGCTTCTTTCAATGATACATTTGTTCATGTTACCGACCTTTCAGGTAATTTTTTTTTGTCATTTTAATAAGCTCTTAGTTTTGAATTCAATTTTTCTTAATAACTTGCTGTTACTATATTTCAAGGGGGAAAACATTGCTTATTTGACAGTACTTTTTAAATGTGTAATTCTCATTAGGATAAATCGAACGGAGAAAACAAACTTCTTCGGAATTTTATGCGGTCAAAAATAAAATTTTTTTCTAATTTGCAGTAGATGATTCTGTCTTAATTTTTTCAAAAAATTTAAGATTTAAGATGAAAAGTGCAAAAATTTTTAATAAAAATGATATGATTCAGGGCGCGAAACCATTGTTCGCGTGACGGGTGGAATGAAAGTAAAGGCAGATCGTGATGAAGCGTCCCCATATGCTGCAATGCTTGCTGCTCAGGATGTAGCTGAACGTTGCAAAGCTGTAAGTGTTTTGCGTTCTTGGTTCCATCGAATTTATTGTTGCAAAGGTTATGTGGGAACTTCTTTGCTGAATATGAATTTTTTTCCAGTTATCTATCAATGCGCTTCATATTAAATTACGTGCTACGGGAGGAACAAAAACTAAGACACCTGGTCCTGGAGCACAATCGGCTCTTCGAGCTCTTGCACGATCTGGAATAAAAATTGGTCGTATTGAAGATGTCACACCAATTCCTACCGATTGTACAAAAAGGAAGGGTGGTCGTCGCGGTCGGCGTTTGTGAATCTTCATTGTTAAATCATATGTGGATAGCCACTTGATTTTCGCTTATTTTGTTATTTGCTCGGTTTTTTTGGATTGCTGGATTTAAAGTATTAAAATTTGCTATATTCATTTTTTCAGCTAGCATTATACTTTATTTGTGAAACAGTAGAACTCTTGATTAACACCAGATTTTCACCATACTTGTTTATTTTTGAGTTCTAGATTATGAAATATTTTTTGTACTTAGCAATTTTAATGCAATAAATTTTTGCATTTTCTCGAGGTCTTGCAAATCAAAAAATATAATGAATTTTTAATTTTTAGTCGTTTTGCGTATTATAACTTTCTATGCAAAATTGAAGTATAAACATATTAAGTCATACTGTAAAACTGTTGAAAATGCCAGTCCGTGTAATCATGGAATTGCAGAGACAAACTTAGATAGCTTCATAAAATTATTAGGACAATGGTGCTTCATGACAATGGTGACATTTTCAAGCAAATGGCATTGACTCATCTTGAAAGCAAAAGCTGTCGAGGTTATATCATTTTAATCATTTCAACTGAATTTTATTTGATCAAAAAATCTGGAAAAGGAGCAACATTGATGACATTGTTGGTAATCTTTGAATTCATTATTCTCATTATTATCATATTGCGGTTAAAATTAATTTTTATAAGTTTCTATTAAATTCGCTTAAACTAATTTTAATAATTGTTTCTGAAATGCAATTCAACGCATGCAATCACCTTTTACGATTTATTTAGGCATAGTCATTAGTCGTTGAGGTTTTGCAGCTGTTCATACATTTCGCAAATTAATAGATATAAACTTATAAAAAAAAATTTTTTTTCTATGTAAAGCAAGCATATATAGAAAATAACGTTGATACATTTTATTATTCGACAATCGTAACGATTTGTGCGATTTTCAGTAATAATGCTACGAATTGTTCTACGTCTCCTAAATATTTTAGCTATTATAATTTTTTGCCGAGGTACTTAAAAAAAAACTTTTTTTAAACGGTTTTATTTCAACGGTTTTATTTTCAAATATTTTCTATTGATTTGAGCAAATTGAAAAATTTTTTTCATAATTTTTGCAAACATTTAAATTGAATTGGAAAAATTAGAAAATTAGAAAATTTAATTAAATATAAAACTAAATATATTAAAATTAATATTTAATATTGCATTTAAATTAAATTAGAAAATTATTTTATTTATTTATTTTTTCTAAAAATTTATATAGAATAATATAAAAATTATTAAAATAAGCGAAATAAATGATTTTAATAGATAGGTATTGGACGAATTTGTAATCAAAATAATGATTGTTCGGCTGGTGAACAATGTTTTTATGGTCGATGTCAATGCGCAATGAATGAACTTCTTATTCAAGGACAATGTGCACCAAATAAGGGATTCTGTAAACAAGGCGAACATGTACGTTTAGTTTTCTTTTCATTCATTTATTGTATTAAATCAATCGTTGGTGATTTTGGTGATTAGATTTTCGATTATAAAATTGATTGAAAATGAAATGCTGAATAAACAAAGTGAAAAATCAAGTTGAACTAAAAATTAGAAAAATTAATAGATTTTTAAAAAGAAATATAATTTTTATAAATAAAAATAGGATTTTTAAAAATTTCGCACTAATTAAAATAGAATCGACTGGTCACATTCATTTTCATGACGTTTTTTTTTCAAGTCTCTTGATGCACAATGCCTTATCTGAAAATAATTCCACTCGCATTTCTACTGTCTCGGCTCGCACATAGCTTAGGCAGCCTATATGTTCGGAATCTTAATAAAATCAACTTGAACAATATTGAATTAGTAAATTAAAAATGAATAGATAAAGAAATTAAAATGGCTCTATACAAATATCATCGATATGTACTGTAAATTACTATAAAATTCTATAAAAAATATAAGATGAAAGAGCAGCGAGAAGAAAATAGTAGAGTTGGCATAAAAAGAAGTTTTTCATTGTTTATAACAATTGATGATGGTATCACTTAATATTTAGCATAGCAATTATTCTATATTTAAGGTATATTTTAATGGTCGATGTTATTATGCGACACAGATTGGTGGGCAATGCTACATAAGCGATCAGTGCATCGGAGATTCGGAATGTTTTGGCTCATCATGTAGTTGTCGTCAAGGTACTCATTTATTAAATTTTTTTTCTTTTCATTGGTGATTTTTTCAATGCCCTAATAATTTTTAATTTAAAAAATCTAGAATTTTTAAATGACTAATTTCTGCCTTAAGTAATGTGAATCATGAAATTTTCGATGATTTTAATTATATTATTCCACTTTTAAAAATTATTTATTTTTAAAAATTTCATTATTATTACAAGGTTATCAGAATAACAACGGAGTCTGTATTAAATCGCAGCCTTCCGCCATATGCCAATTGGGTCAAATCACTGTTAATGGACTTTGTTTGGACGTACGATTTCCTGGAGAGCAATGTCAAGATTCATTGCAATGTGTTGATGGATCCTCGTGTGATAGATTTCAAAAATGTGTTTGCCCTGAAGGAATGTATTTGATTAAGAAACGTTGTAGAAAACTTTTTTCGGATAACTGCGATCAATGCGATTCAGTAAGTTTTGATTTTCAAATTTTAAATTTGTTCGAAGATTTCTTTCATTTATTTTATTTCTAAAAATAGCAAAGGATTAGTTTTACTTATTTGATTTTTATCGCCAATAAAATTTCCAAAAAATTTCCAATTTTTTAAAACTTTTATCAATTTTGAATGATTTTTTTTACATAAAAATTTGGAAATTAAATTCGATTTATTTAAATTTTATTTAGTTGATTTATTTCAAATCATTAGATTTTTTACTTTTTTAAATAAATTCTGTTTTTGTTGGTTGTTTTAAGGTCTTCGTAAATGGTCAATGTTTAAGTTTACAAGCACCTGGTCAGAATTGCGTTCAGCATCAACAATGCTTAAGTGGTTCAACTTGTTTCGGAGGTAAATGTACATGTCCCACTGGAACACAACTATTTCGTGAATATTGCATTTCACCAGAGAGAGTACAATGTTATTCAAATCAGGTCATTTTTAATTACTTTGAGAAATTTTGTATGTTTGATTTGAACAATTGCTTCGTTTGGAATGCTTTAGTTATACCATTTTCATTGAATTTTTAAACTGAATATCGTAATATCATTAAATTAAATTGTATTTTTTCTGATTTTTTATAGTTTTTTTTATTGAATTCTCTTGCATAAACAATGAAAGTATCGTTGATGAGCTAAACTGTTAAGGTTGAATTAAACAATGTCTGTTACAACAAAGTAAAAATTGGTGGCTTTTGTCTCGTCACCGCGCAATGTCAAGGCAATTCTGAATGTTCATATAAAGGTGTATGTGAATGTTCACGATGGATGCAGGTTATTTTTATTTTTACCAAAGCGTTTCTCTTAGAAGATAATTCAAAAATTTCAAAATTTTGAATTTCTCCATTTAATGATTTCCTTTCTCAGATTGCATTAATTCGGATTTAAAGCCAAGTTATAGCCAAGCCAAATCTTTTTTTAAAATTGCTTTGTGAGAGTATTTTGTATATTTTAGTTTGTTTATTTTCAGGAGGAAAATGGCTTATGTAAACCTATACAACAAAATCGTTGTGATAATGATGACCAAGTTATGGTGTGTTGATTTTCATTCCACTTTTTAATTAATAAATAAAATTTGATAATTAAATTTTGCAATTTTTATTATGATTTAAAATTAATTCAAAATAAATCAATAAATATAGATCGATGGCATGTGTATAAATCGGGTCCAACCTGGAGGCCATTGTCAGTATAATGAGCAATGTTTGGATAGTTCTAGGTGTCAAAATGGGGCGTGTATTTGTCCAAATGGTATGGAAAATCTTAGTGGGTATGTTTTTTATTTTTTGAAAATAGATGACTGAATTTTTCTCTCGCCAAAGTTGAATTGTAACTAAGATATATTGTGATATATTTATAAATGTCATTTTACACTATACTTACACTATATTTTTAAGTGTATTTTTTAAGGTATTGTGTACTGTCAAATATTTCTCAAGGCTGTAATCAGTATTTCACTATGATAAATGGATGGTGCCAACCGCTTGCTCCACCTGGATACAGCTGCACTTATAATCAACAATGTCTTGGATCGTCAACTTGTCCTAAAGGTTGTTTTATCTTTTTATCTTAATTTGGGGTTGTTATGCTTGGAGCTCGTAAATTTCTTAAGATTCGAAATTTACGAAATAATATTCAAATACTAAAAATGGTAATATTAAATTTTTATTAATTTTGTGTCGAAGAACCTACAGTAGTATTTTTAAGAATATTTTTATTAATAATTTTATTCAGAAAACACCATTCAGTAGTTAAATTTTCAGTAATTTTTTATGGTTTTTTTTGCTAAAAAAGTGCAAATAACGAGTAGTTTTATTTGACTTTAGTTTAGGTGTATGCGAATGCTCAAATGGATATGTAAATATCAGAAATTATTGTGTTTTGCTCAATGCAACATCAAATTGCACAGAGAATCAAGTAACCGTTCTCATTTTTAAAAATAAACAATTTTTTAAAATATATGATGGGAAAAATGCGACAGAATTAGCGAACATATTGCGGACTGATCTGTTTTGAATTGTTTAAAATTATTTTATTTTTTTCGAAATATTATGGATTTAAGAATAAGTTATGGATCCAGTAATGAACCAATTAAAATAGTATTTAAGGTGTTAATTTGCTTGCCGTATTTAGTTTTTAATTCTATTGGATTTAAAAAATAAAAGCAAAATTTTTATAAAAAACACGAAATATCTAATATTCTTTTCAATAAATGAAGTAAATGATAAATGATAGAAAAAATGATAGAAAAAAAAAAGATAATTGGTTAAAAATTGGTTGATTGATAATTAAAATCTTATCGTCTGCGCTTATGGGGTATCTATGCTTCTTTCGCATATCTTTTATCGACTGCTTGGCAAAATTTTTTTGGTCCATAAAAAGACAATGGAGCGAGGACCTAAATAAAAAATGATGAGAAGAGAAATATGAGTTGATCTGCTTTTTGAATTTTTTGAATTAACTATAAACTTGAATTAGAGAATTAGAGATTAATTATTTGCTAATTAATCAGCTATAATCTTTTATAAATGTTGAGGCGATTAATTGTTTTACTTCTATGAAAGAATTATTCTACAACAGTTTACAACCATTACAACCATTTTTTCAATGATAGATTATATCATTTTTGAAGCTCAAAAAAAATAAAAAATTAATAAAAAATATCAAAGTTGAATTAAGTTTAATTAAAATTTAGTTTAATTAAAATTTTAATAGCTGAAAAATTAAAAAACAAAATTTTGAAAAATTTTGAAATAGAAAAAAATTTTGTGGAAAATTTATTTTTCAAATTATTAATGATGTTTCGAAACTTTTATTAAACAATTAATAATATTTAAAAAAAAAAAAAATTGTTAATGAAGCGACAAACGATAAATTTTCTTAAAAAATTAGAGGAAACTTATTCTTATAACGATTCTTCTCTTCAATAAATGAATAATCAGCAAATATATCAGTCAAATGATAAAATAAATTTATGCGACAATAATAAATAATAAATTAAACTTGTTTTTTGTGCTTGCATGCTCATCCGATTGCTTTTTGAAAATCACATATACGAGCGATTAATGCTTTGCGAGTCCGCTCGAAGAAGCAAAAAAAGACTCGTCGCTTTGCATAGATGGGCAAGAAAATGATAATAAAAGGATGGAAAAATTGTGAGTAAATAAATTGTTGCATAGAAAATTAAGGACCGTTTAGCAAAAGGACCGTTGTACTCGATAATAGGAGAAAACGCCTAATGGATATAAAACCTCTGAAATCTGATTCGTAGCTTGAATTGAAAGAAAAGCGTGCCTTTGGCAGTTCGGGACGATTTTTGAGGGAGTATATCGAAGTTCGAGGTGGTATAGTTAATAACGCTTTAAGGCATTTAAAAATGTATCGGGCGAATAAATTTTTTATATTTTTGATCATATTTGCCTGAGGCTTCGATTTAGAGTTGTGTTGGCTTAAATTATTCGGCGCTATGTTGGCTATTTTATTGGCCATTAGTGTTAAAAATCTTAAATAGGAAATTTTATTATTTTCAGATTTTTTATTTTTTAATTTAATTTTTGATTTTTTTTGTAAAAAAATTTTTGAATTAATTTAAAAAATTTATTAAGAATTTAAGTAAATTTTTAAAAATTATTCTTTAAAAAATAAGCCTTTAAAGCTTTGCATTTTTTTGGGGTTCTTTCTTAAAATATAAAATTATTGAGGTTTTCGTCAATGGGAAATGCTTCAACTATGTTACTATCGGGCAATATTGTGTTTATACATCGCAATGTCAAGGTGGTTCGATTTGCACGAATAATTATTGTGCGTGTCCAGTTGGTACAGTAGTTGATGGTAGTAATTGTACAGAAGTGGGAAAATGTTGGTCGCATCAAATTCTTATCGATAAAATCTGCTATGATAAGGCGAACGTTGGGCAATTTTGTAAATATGATCAACAATGTCAGGGTGGTTCATCGTGTATTTCGATGCTATGCACATGTCCATTTGGAACTATTATTCGTAATAATTCGTGTGTATATAATGGTAATTGCATGCCAACACAAATATTTATTAATGGTATGTGTTATGATCATAGAACTATTGGACAAACTTGCCTATATGATGAACAATGTGAAAGTGGTTCAACATGTACGAGTGGATTTTGTGCTTGTCCCAGTGGAACAACTTATTTAAACAATTGGTGTGTAGGTAGTGGGCACTGTAGACCAGATCAAGTTTATGTGCGAGGATTATGCTATGATAAAGTTAGTTTATTTGATAATAATAATAATATTAATAATAACAACGATAATAATAACAATGATAACGATAATAATAATAAATAATAATTGAAATTGATTATTTCCTATACTAAATGGCTATTTCAAAGTATTTCGACGAAACTATTTATTTAGTTAATTTATTATTTATTGATTTTGTTCATTATTTACTAAATTTTATTAAATTTTATTTTTATTAATGCTATCAAATAAATATTTTTATATTTTTAGGTGGATTTCGGTGAATTTTGTTATCTTAACGAACAATGCTCGAAAAATGCGTCATGCATTACGAATCGTTGCCAATGCCCTAAAGGTATGGTAATTACGAATGGATTATGTGCGATGAATTCGCAATGCTATGAATATCAAGTATCAGTAAATGGTATTTGCATGGATAGTGTATCGATAGGAATGAAATGTGCGGCAGATTCACAGTGTATCGGTCAGTTCTCTTCTCTTGTTTTCAATTCGCACATATTAAGTCGATTTCCGAAATATACCAATTATAGTTTTTTATTATAGAAGAAGAACTAAGCAGAAGAAGTTTTATCGTGAGCTTATAATAAAAAAAGGCGTGAAAAGGAAGGAATTTGTAAAAAATTAAACAAAAAACCTAAAAAAAGCGGGCAGAATGAATGTTAATGGTACTTGTGTTAATGACAATGAAATAATAGAAAATCAGATAAAACAGTTCAACAATTCTGGAGATGATTTTTTTTTGCTGAATAAAATTCAAAATTTTAAATTTTTGCTAATTTATTTCTAAAAATTTATGTAAATTTTTTAGCATCAGCGGTTTGTGTTTCTACTCAAGAAAATATTTATAAAACTTGTCAATGCAAGAGCGATACTCTCTTCACTGGATCTTCATGCTCCCTAACAACATCCACAAGATGTCCACCATCAACTGTATATATAGCAGACGGCGATTGTCAAACGCTTGTACCTATTGGACAGTACTGTTCATATTCATCGCAATGCATGGGTTTTTCAGCTTGTATACGTTCGATTTGCGAATGTCCAGCCGGATTCGAACAATTTAATGATGTTTGTAGAAAACGTTCTTGAGAAAAATGCCGAATTTGTATTTATATTTCAAGATTATGTATGCTTTTTAATTTAATTTCATTTATGACAAAAATTTTATATAGTACAAATTTTTCTTTACGAAAACACAACTGCACATCCATTAAATTTGATTATACAAATCAATTTTTGTAATCTTTTAGGATTTTTTTTTAAAAATTTTTCTATTTTTATCTTTTATACTTTCTTTCTTAGCTTTCATTCTTATTTCAACAATATGGTGAGAATTTTTTTATTTAGTTTGCTAGTAATCTTCTATATTTGTATTTTTTGTCATCCTTTTTCTTTTTTTCATAATTCCAAAAATAATGAAATTCGTAAAGTTTTAAACGCAATGACTGAAGGATCATTTAGGAAATAGCATTTAGTCGTTTAAAATCGCTTAAACGACTAAAAAGTCGTTTTATCAATTATGCAGATTGTTTTTATCGGTTTTCAGAGTGGAAAAACCAAGGTAAAACTAAATAAGAGTCCTAAGATTCGAAATTAATAAAATGTCTAAGAAAAAAAAGAATTTCAAGGAAGTGATCGGAAAAAAAGGAAATTTCTGGATATTACAACTGGATTTCTTTTAAATTATTTTAATTTAGAACTGCCTCAGTTAAATGAACTAAAAAATATTTTTATAAAGAAATAAAAAAATGAAATAAAAATAAAAATTACAAAATAAATATTTATTAAAAATATTTTATCGTTGAAAAAAGAGTTCTTCTGCAGTTCTTCTGCAGTTTTTTTTTAATTTTTATGATTTTAATTTTTATAATTTTATATTTTTATTTTTAAAATTTGAAATATTTCATTTTGTTCATTAAGTTGGTGTCTCTTTTTTTTTGTATTATTATAATTTTAAAATAAATTAAGCGTCTTTTATGTTTTTCTGGAAAATGAGGCAATGTTTGGCGATCATTTTACAGATTTATGAGAATGGCCCAGTGCATTACGATAAGGTACATTTTTCTCTTCGATTCTACAATTTCCTCTTTGAAATAAAAATTGATATCTTAAAGAATCAATGATGAATAAAAGACGTTTTAAAGATTAGTAAAGATTGGTAAACTATAAATTTTGCACTTTCAATATAATTGAATTGATTCTCTATATTTAACGATAAAAAGTTTTTGATAACGTCTTTATCAGCACTAAAAGGTTAATTGATAAAATTCGTCAATTTATAAAACTGAAACTGATTCAACTAAAATTTTCCGATTTTTGAATCGTTTTTTTTTTAATATTTGAAAATAAATGATGAATATTTATGTAATATGAGTCGATTTATTCGAATTTCTTCATCTTCCTTATATCTTTATCAAGAAATTTAGCAAAACTGTTATCATATCAGCTACTGGAACAAGATAATAGAATAGCTCAGTGGGATGTTGCTCAATTCGAAGCACCACTGCTGAGATTCTATTCCTCTCTAGAGTAAAAAAAATCTGCGCAAACTTAGTCCAAAAATCCGAGTGATGCTGGCGACTCACCTAAACTTCTATCGCCAAAGAACTCACTGGTATATTTGTCTAGTTCGAAAAACCAGCGGAGAGCGAATCTAACCTTTAGAAAAATTAGAAAAATTTCGACACCATTTAGATAAACCATTTATTTAATGATGATTTTTTAAAAACATTTTTTGTAATTTTTTAAATTTTTAAATTTTGCATTTTTGAGAAAAAATGTGTGGAATTTTTGGTGCTGTATTAGCTGAAGGAATTAAACCAGGAAATTTGGCACTTATGGCGGTTGAAGGATTGTTGGCACTTCAACATAGGTTTATTGAATTTTCATCATTTTTCCTATTTTATTTAAAACTGTTTAAAAAATAGTGATACATATTTCAACAAGTAAAGACGATTAGTAAGAAGGATTATTACAGATTAGAATTGTCAGAAGAAAGTCGCCTAGTAGAAATTTAATGCTTAAAAAGCACGTAGGTATGGAACTAGTTTGCTAAAGACTCGCTTCAACGAGGGGAACATAACAATTTAGCCTGTTTTATTTATAGGGGTACTGAAGGTTCAGGATTAATTGGCTCAGACGGAAATTCTAAAGGACATTTCAAAGTCATCAAAAATTGTGGACTCATTATCGAAGTGTTTAAGGAAAAAGAAGTTCAGAAATTAAATGGTCTTTTTTCAGTTTTTATTGAATAAACCGATCTTGCTGTTAGCAAACTATAAATAATGTTAAGATTCTCCGCATGAGTAAACCCGTCACAAAAATCCGAATGGTACTTAATACTAATCTACCATAAAATAACTATTTCATGCAGATTGCGTTGTACTGCTTGGACATAATCGCTATTCAACGGCTGGCATGAAAGATGCAATCAACTGTTTGCAGCCTTTTTTGGTGTATACAATGGTTGGACCCATTGCAATCGCTCATAACGGTGAATTAGTGGACGCTCAACAACAACGAAAAATTGTCAATTATTTTTCTTCGCCTAAATTATTTTTGCTATGTTCTAAAAAATTGGAACTTTGAATGAGGATTTTAAATTGCATGTGTTATAGGTTCTCAAATCTGGTGTAGCTTTATCAACAGATACTGATAGCGAATTAATTGCACAATTATTATCAATGAGTATTGCTAAAAATGCCGAAAATTTAGTTAATGGCTCAAATTTTGCAGACATTTCACAGGTCGCTTTTTCTATTATTTTTGGCCAAGAAAATTTCAAATATTTCAAATGAACCATTTATTTAAGTCAGCGTTTTTCAAACTTTTTTTTTTGCTATGAAACATTTTGCAAATTACAAAATAATTATGGAAAATTTTAATTAAATTTTTATAAATTAATTAGTTAAAAAAATAAATCCTTCACATAAGTTTAATTATTCAAATTTAAAAAATTAATTATTAAAAAGTTAATAATTTAATAATAAAAGTTAATAAGTTTATAATTAATAAAATTGTTTTTTCACGAATTTTGCAGAATAAACGCGATATATTCGAATTGTAAAAATTAAAAATAAAAAATACCTTTCAATAATAAATAAATTGTTAGATAAAAATTTTCGTGGAACTTTTTTCGTGAAATTTTCGTGAATAATTTAGGAAATTTTATTTTAAGTATTATATTGGAGTTTATTTTGTTGCAGAAAAAATCCTTCTAATTCCTTTTTCTAATTCATTCATTTTATTTTATGGTCGTTTAGGAATTTATTTTAGGAAATCGCAAATATGATGAAAAAACTTTATCTTTCTTATTCACTTATCGTTATGACATTTGACAGATTGTATGCACTTCGTGACCCGTATGGTAATCGACCAATTTGTGTCGCAAAAATTTTTGCAAAAGAAAAACCTGGTAAAAATAAATTTAATTTTTTTAGCACCAATGTAAATACTAATGTGCAGGTTGATTATCAGGAAATGTGTAAAAATCTAAAAATTCTTTTAAAAAAAATTGTTAATATTATGAAAAATTTTTTTATCAGAATTGCATTAGAAATACAATTAGGTCGACAGCACTCTCCTCAATTTTTTGATGATGAATTCTCCTGTCGAGAAGCGAGGATTTAAATCTCTCTATCTCTCAACACAGAAACCTAAATCACTCGATTTTTACTGCCCGTCAATTCATTACTTATTTTTTTATAGTTATAGTCCATTGGCAGAAACAGCATTTCATTTTTGCTTTTTTCATGACATTCAGTGATAATGGCGTGATAACAGTTATGGGCATTTAAAGAAATTTTTCAAGTCTAATATCAAATATAATGTCAAATATTATGAGAAAAATTTTTTTAAATGGAAATTTTTACTAAACTAATAAAATTTAGGAAATGAAAAATAAATTAAAATAGAAATTAAGATTTAATGGAAAATCCGATAGCGTATTTCGTGGCATCTGAATCATGCGCATTTCCTTCTACAGCACAATCGTTATATGAATTAAAACCTGGAGAGATTATGGAGATCAGTAGAAAAGGCATTCGTTGCATTCAGCAGGTTTTTTAAATTTAAATGAATTTTTTTTTAAAGATTCTTCACCATTACTGGTTAAACTTGCTCCACTGGCTTGTCGCATTGAGCAATATGCCAGGGAATCCTTTGGCGATAGAAATAGAGGTGAGTCGCCAGCATCATCCGGATTTTTGTACAGGTTTACTTTTGCGGGGAATCGAACCTCAGCATCGACGCTCCCAATTAAGCAAAAATCCACTGAGCCATTCTATCTCCAAACTTAAATGAATACATGATTGCATTTTTGGCTTATTCTTTTAAATTTAAAAATTATTTTTATTAATTTCAGATAAAGCCAGCGGCACCATCATTTTGTATATTTGAATATGTTTACTTCGCACGCGCAGATTCTATTCTAGAAGGTAAGTAAGTAAGTAATGGGATTGGCTCGAGTCATAAGTATTAATGAGAAATTTTTGCCAGAAAATCATAAATTTTGATAAACCAACCAATATCACCCGCATTTTCTAGTGATAAGCTTATTCTTGCCGGAATCAGCTAAACTGCAGTGTTCGAATAGTAGTACTCTGGGCCATGCCTACTATTCCTATTATAGAAGTTGCTGGCTTTTTAATAAAATTTTAAATGATTATTCATTTTCGTAACTAGGCTAGATGGTTAACCAAATATCAATAAGTATTCACCTATCTTCAAGTTTTATAATAATTTTTATTTGTAGTAGCAAAAAAATTTGATCTTTTGAACGAATAGCTCTAAGATATTACAATGTATAAATGTCGCTTCCAGTAACAATAAGTAAGGATCTCTTATAAACTCTTGTATTTTTATCTTTTAAAATTGCCTTTAATTAAAACAGGTCAGCAGGTGTATTCTGTAAGAAAGGAATGTGGACGAATTCTTGCAGACGAAGTTAATATTAAAGGAGATATTGTTAGCAACGTACCAGATTCAGCTGTCGCTGCAAGCCTTGGTTTCGCAGAAAAGGTGTCACCATAAATATCAAATTTTGCCAAATTAATTTGTTATTTCAAAAGAGTTCACCATTTCTTATTAGACTTATTTCTTTGGTTTATTGGTCCAAATAAATTCTGACATTTGTTGATAGAAATATTAAAGCATGTTATTTGCATTTTTGAAAGATAAGTTCATCTTCGTCGGAAACGGACGGAGAGCATTTCTATGCCCCGCTAATATTCTCATAATTTAATTTAATTTATTTTTATTTTTTGTGAATTTACTTGTGATTATCAAAAATTATAAATAAACGACTATTCAAATCTATCACAAAAGGTCCAATTTTTCTCTATTTTTGTTACGAATTGGAAAATTTAAAAGTGATAAATAAAAATCAATTTAATCAATTAATCAATTAATTTACTTTTAAAAAAAAAAATTTATCTCTATATTAATTAATTTTAGAGTGGAATAAAATATATGGAAGTATTGCATCGAAATAGTTATATAGGTCGTTCATTTATTCAACCGAGTACCGAATTACGGAAAAATTCAATTCTAAGAAAATTTGGAGTGATTAGAAAAAATGTTGCCGGGAAAAAAATTATTCTTATTGATGATTCGATTGTTAGAGGTAATACGATGGGAATTATTGTTCATCTTTTGAAGGAATATGGCGCCAAAGAGGTTTGTTTAGATAACAATCAGGTGGCGGAGATTTTTATCTTTCACACCTGTAATTAACTCGTCCAAAATTAAACTTCTCATCTAAAGTCTTTTTCAGAAGAATAATTGATGAATGATTACTGTCTTCTTAGAATTTTTAAGCATTCCATTTACCGTATTTTTTATTAAAAATATTAAATATTTTCTTTTAAATTTTATAATAGAGAGAATAAAGAGGACAAAATGGCTCAGTGGGTTGGTTCACTAATTTCGGAGCTCCAATAATTGGGTTCTATTCCCAGCACTGTAATTGACCACAATTTTATGTGATTCTCTAGTAAGAATTTGTCTAGTTCGATGAATTAGTCGAATAATCCTAAAACGATCTTTGTGTGAACCTTTAATTGTAGCACTAAGCCAATGTATTTTTATGTTTCAGGTTCATGTTTGTATCGCATCACCACCCATTAAATTTCCATGTTACATGGGAATTAATATTTCATCGAAAGAAGAGCTAATTGCATCAACTAAGACAAATGAGGAAATTGCAAAAAAACTTAATGCTGATTCTGTATGGTATTTGAGTGTGGAAGGCCTTAAGAAAGCAATAACAAAAGGTATTCATCGAAAATTTGACCGCAAAATTGGATATTGTACTGCATGTCTTACTGGACAATACCCTGTTGATTTGAACTGGTAAATTTAAAAATTTGGTACTATATTGCATATCTTACTGGATAATGCCTTATTGATTTGAACTAGTAAAATCATCTTTAATGAATATTTTTATTGTTTATTGAAAAATTTTTTTAAATTTCTTTAAAAAATTTGAAATATTTTTGAATTTGAAAAAAATAAATTTGAAAAATTTAAGAATATTTTTTTTAATGAATAAAAAAATATAAATTAATTATAAGTATCTATGAAAAAATCAAATCAAATGAATAATAATAAAAATAATGCAATTCCCAGAGGAATAAAAAATTAATTCATTTGTTCTTAAACGTTTACTTAATCCTTCGTCGAATTAATAATTACTTTCGAGAAAATATTATAGATTAATAAAACTAACTTTTTGTAAGTTTCCTAATCCCTCTATTTGCTGATGAGGTTAATTCATAACTCATTTACCGCTAATCTCTCTTGTTTTATCTGCGTTTGACATTTTCGCAGATGTTCAATGAAATGATGATTACCATAATATTAACTTCGAGAAAACTTTTTTCTTGATGTATTTCTTGATATTTTTTCTTGATGTATATCTAAGATAAGATTGAATAAAGAATTAGAATGTATGAAAAGAAAAAAAAATATTTTTCGGATAATGCGAGATTTCATTATTTATCAAGCAATTTCATCGATAAATTAATGATAACAATGATAATAATAAATGTGAGACGGAAAATCTTCTAATCTTTATCTTATCATGGAACGATCGACAAAAATTATAATTAAGAAAAGTTGTAATTAATTAATTAAGTTCTACAAAAATCAACCAATTTAAGCAATATATATATATATATATAACTTTCTATTTTCTGCAAAAATAAATTTATCTTTCGAAAATTCGCTTGACGGCTATCGATTCATTTGTACTACTATCACCATGTGATTCTCTGATTTGTACTGCTATCATTTGTCTGATCCGACAAACGAGCCTAATGCGAGTGAGAAATGTTAGGCATTCTTGGAAAAAAAAAGACCAATTTATTTAAATCCAATTTATTAAAATAAAAGAAATTCTATTCCTATTAAAATATAAAAAAATATGTGCAATTTTGATATTAATGAGAAACAATTATTGGTTAAAAATAGTTTTTTTCTTCAAACATTTGGCTAAAAAAAAGTGCATAAAATTATGGATATTATGGATATCGAGGTTAGCTCAAATGAATTAAATGAATTAAATTTTTAAAAAATTTTAAATTTTAAAAATAAATTTCTCTTCTTACTTCAGAATTATGGCAATGAAATAAGAAATTAAATGATTTAGGAAAACAAATTAATAAAATTTAAAATAAAATTTAAAAAATTATAAATTATCTTTTTTGTAAAAAAAGAAAGATTAAAAAAATTTTTTTTATAAAAAAAATTCAATTTTCTCGACAATCCTATTTTTTCTATTTTTCAATAGTGTAATGTTATTGTTTGATGAAAAAGAAAAATTTTAGAAAAAAATTTGGTTCTTATGAAAAATTTTTTAAATTTTTAAATATTTTTATGTTAGAAATAAACGATATCAGTCTAAATGAATTTCTCTTGAATGGAAATTCTTCTGGTTTATTCTCGTTTTCGAAGAACTAACTAATCGACCTTTTTTATTTTTTCTATTTCATAAAAATTCTCATACAACAAACTTTAATGAGTACTTTAATATCGTTTAATATTTTAATGAGTACTTTAATATCGTTTAGTTAGTCCACTTAGAATTTAATGAGTCGTCGATTATTCCATGAATCGCTTTGATAAAACAAAAAAAAATTGATAAAATTTCGATAACAAATCATTTCTCATTTAGAGAATATTTATTATTATTATTAACATTATTATTATTAATATTATTATTATTGTAACGACCTGAAGAACTTTTATATTTGCTTTTTATCGAGAATTTTTCAACATCATTATTGCTCATCTGTGAATATAATTGTTGTTATAATAATAATAATAATAATATTTATCTCGAGAATCGTTATTTATATATATCGTAATAGGTCGAAGAGAAATTTTGTAAGAAAATAATACTTTTTTCATGGTAAAATGAACTAAAATTTCGAACCTATTTTTCTATTTTTCCTAAAATTTCAAACATCTATTTTTATTAAAACGCCTTTGGCTTAAGATTTATTATCGCTTTGGTCCTTGCTTATTCAACCTATAATGAAAGATAAATCTTGATAATTCGAAAAATATAGTACGAAAAAATTATGCTACAATGGTGAATAGGTTTCAACAATTTATTTCAGCTATTTCAGCAAAGTTACGGTAAATCTAAAATCGTTATATTCTGAAAAATTTGATAGCCAAAGAAAAGACTTTAAAAAAAGTTAGAAAATTAGATTTGCGAAAAAATATTTATTAAATCATTATTGGTTCATTTTTTTTCTATTGAATTCATTATTGAATTCGAATAATTTAGTAAAAAAATGAATGAATAAAATAAAAATAAATTTCATAATAAATTTTAAGTTTTAAGAAATTTCAAATATTCGAAAATGAAAACTTTTTAAAGGTGATTTTCCAAATTTATATTGTTATCATTATTATCACTTTTTTTCAAAGAGTACTCACCATTACTGGCTCAACTCGCTCCACTGGCTTGTCACATTGAACAATTTGCCAGGGAGTCCCTTGGCGATAGAGATATAGGTGAGTTGCCAGCATCAGCAGGTTTACCCCTGCGGGGAATCGAGCCTCAGCATCGGCGCTCCCAATCGAGCAATAATCCAATGAGCCATTCTATCCCAAAAAAAAATTTGGAATGCTTCACGAATTTGCCTGACATTATCATTATCACTATCATTATTATCAAATTATTATTGGTTTTTATTTTCAGAATTATCTTTTCTTAAAAAAGATAAAATTCATCTTTTCTTATTATGGCGCTATCTTCTTTAAATTATCTTAAATTGTCTTAATTTGCCTTTTTGGCCTAAAAAGTTGAAATAAATTAGACTGAATAGACTAACTATTACTGTCTTTCTTGTTACCATTATTGTAAGTTGAATAATACGAATAATTGATGCATGAATTAATAAAATAAGTGAAAATTCATATTTAGCTGAGTGTCGAACAAATTGAACACCGCCAAATTAATTTTATATTTCAACTAATTTTTATCGTATCAATTAAGCATATCAGTTTTTATCAATTATTAGTTTCTTATCAATTTTTATAAGCTATTTCGACAATAATCAACTGTATCCTTTCTTATAACTCGTACTTGACCTTCAAAACTAACCATAAGAATAATTTTCCAAACTAATATTGTTATCACTGTTACTATCATTATCAATATTAGCAAACTATAAATTTAGAGGCAATCAAATAAATAAATATATATTTTCATGCGAATTCATCAATCAACAAACAATTTACACTCATAAAAATTTATTTATAAAAATATTTTTGAAAAATTTTTAGTAATATTATTCTTAAAGGTTGAAATAATATAATGTAACAATTTTAACTCGAATTTTGCTATAACTCGAAATAGGTGAAATTGCTTGAAACCTGTTTCCCTGCGGAAGTGAACCGCCATTAAGCCATAATTTTTTCGTACCATAAATAACCCATAGTTGCCCAGAATTTAGGAGAGAAATTAATTTATTTATTTAATACTCATTAAGGATCATCGAATTCGCGAATTAAAAATAAATAATTTCTTCAGCGCCAATTCTGAAAAATGCTTAAATCCCCTTACTAAGGCAAACACTTTGGCAACACTTTGCCTAAGGGCATTTCTTATTTTCTTTTGTAATTTATAAAGTATACTTTTATTTTATTCATTTTTCTATGATTTATTATTTATAATTTTTTTTTTTTAAATTATATAATTTCATAATTGTAAATAAAAATATATTATAAATAATAATTATAAATAAATAAAAGAAGAATAAACGCATTTTTAGCTGCCCACAAAAACTTTCCCGTTTTTTTTATTAAATTTTTTATTTTTTATTTATATTTTTATCATATTTCATATAATTAAACTGGTCTTAAAACGAAATTCTGATTTCTTTTCCATTGCGCCAATATTATATCAATTAAGATTAAATTTAAAATTTAATTTTTTTATGAAATGCTAAATTTGGGTGTTCCAGTTGTTTTTTTAGGCGGCAGGGGCCTGCAACCGACCGGTTGGTACCAAAGGGAAATCTGCCGGGTTGACGTATTCCATTCATTGAAATGAAATATACCCATTTCTCACTTGTTTTTTTCATTTAACAATATTGAAGCATTTTTTAAATTACTTTTTATTATCTTTGACTTTTGGTTATATAAAAAAATTATTTCAAATTTTGCATGCAAACCTTTATTATTAAAAATTATTATGGAAAGTTAAGTTAAAAAATATTAGTAAAATTGAAAAGTATAATAATTTGAATAAAATAAATATTAATAAAAACGAAAAATATAATAAATAAATAAAATGAATAAATAAAAATAAATGAAAAAGATTTTTCTCGATATTTCCTAGCAATAATAATAATGTATTATATAGTTTATATTATTCTCGTTTCTGTCAGCAATTCCCAGCAAAAAATGGGCTTATTTTTCGAAAATTCGTTTAATGCCAACGAATGTTCCTTCGGCAAAAAGTATTGCCCTATGTTAAGAAGGCAGCTGAAATCGTTTAATTAGAATCGAAAAGCGATTCTTGTAGGGAAAACATTCTTAACTTCTTCTATAAGTCTTTTATAATTTTTTTTCTAAAATTCTATTTTCATTTATTTTATTTTTTGTATAATATAGTTTTTTTTTTGAATTCGCCTTATTTTTCAGTAGTAATTTTAATATGGTTATAACGATTAATGATTTGTCGCGTGGATTTTTTCAACAGTTTTGTGAAGGATCGCGAGAAATCAATCAACCAGTGCTACAAGTTTTGGTATGAATCCCATTCTCATTTTCTTGCATTATTTTCGTTATAATTAAAGACGATTCGCATCCTTTTTTTAAATTTACCTAATAATTTAATAATTTCATAATTTAATAATATTTGTTAAATAATTTTGTCCCTATTATTTTTTGAATTTTTCTTGTTTTTTTTTTTTTGTTTGCTTTATGTTAGTAATCGATTTCAAATTTTATAAATTTTCCTGGCATTATTTTGTCGTAAAAAATTAAATTAAGTTAATGAAGTAAATATCTTCGGCGAAAAAATAATAGAAAATTTTGCTATGGAAATTTTCTATATTTTCATTAATTAATTAAAAATTTATCGAATAAATGAGAAATTATCATTTTAAGGATGTGCGAACTTTGAATGCAGCTACAGATGAAGCGAAAGCAGTTATGTCAGTTATTCAACGTTATAGATTCAGATTATCGGATGGTTTATTCAGTTATAATTGTCAGTCAATTTTTGTTTTTCTTATTTTGCGAGGAAATTTTTTATTGTTTGAGTTATTCCTATTATTATTTCAGCGGTCGTCAATCATATTGATATAACGTCGAAAATTACAAGTGATAATCTTGCTAACGATAATCCAGTAATAAAGATTTTGCGATGGGAAAAGAGAGATGCTGATAAACCTTCGTAATTGTCGTTTATAAGTTTACTTATTAACTTTCATTTTATCGGAAAGCTTCACATTTCGACATTAATTAATAATTATGCATTAATTAAATTTTTTAAAGCTAATATTACTGATATAAAAAATTAATATTTTAGAGCTAATGGAGTACGAAGACCTCGTTTAATAATATACGGTTATACAATATTGGGCCGTGGATTACCAATTTTTAATAATCCAACCGAGCATTCTGGTGATCCAAACGATTACAAGGGCTTTAATCCAAATAGATTGCAAAGTGTTACAGCGGATGATGATATCTCGCATTATTCAAGTGTTTTTTACCAAATATTCTTATATGCGTATTTCTTCATGTTAGAATTTAGAATTTCAAAATAATAATTTGTTCATTTTTTTTAGGCAATCGATCAGTTCTTACGGAACAAGTCACTCCTATTAAACTTATAACTCCTTATGTGAACAAGTAAATATCAATTATTGTCAATATGAAATTAGACCAGGCCTTCTTAGGACTGTTAAAAAATTTCCAAAGACAACAATTCTTTACTGAACTTTTATATACATAAAAAAAAGTCCCCAACCTTATGTGGTAATGATCATCTTCATCCTCGGGTCCTCTAGCAGAAGCATGGTTGTTCTAAGCCACTTTCCTAGTATAGAAGTGAAGTACCATAATGATCATTGGAATTATGTATATATATATATATTTCTTCATTTTTTTATTTTTAGATGGCGTATTTGTGGTGTCGTAAGTGTAAAAGAAGATTTAAGAGAGTTAAAAACAGCTCGTGGCGATATGAGAGTATTCAATTTTGAAATAACTGATAAGGACGGAGGTTGTATACGTGTTGCAGCCTTTAATGAAATTGCTGATAAATATTATTCAATCATTCAGAAAGGAGTGGTAATATATTACTCTTTTTTATTTAATTTGCGTTTTTTTGGTAGTATATTTGAAAACAACTATAAACAAAATAGCAGTAATATGAGATTTTTATAGATGTATTATGTAGTTGGCGGTACAATAAAGCAAGCGAATAAGCGCTTCAATACAACGGGACATGATTATGAAATTTCTTTGCGATCTGATTCGGAGGTTCAATGCTTTTTTTCGAATTAGAATATCTTTGAAAAGGCCGCTTTTGGCGGAAAAAGTTGATTAACTTTTTAATCGGTAGATTTCTTCTTCAATAAATTGCAAAACTCATCATTGCATCAGTTTATTTTTCTGGATTTGAATTTTTGCCAAATTAAATCTAATTTAGGTAAGAGAATGTCATGATAAGCAAAAAATCGTGCAACCAAAACTTGTATTAAATGGAGTTTCGCTTGCAAAAATTGCTTCATTTGTTAATGAATGTGTAGATGTTATTGGTATAATAGAAAGTGTTGCTGATATTCAACAAGTTAGTTATGTCTTTGTTGCTTTTTTAGTTCTTGAGTATTCAAATTTTTCGAGCTTTAAGAAGAAGTTTGCATTTATATATTCAACCTAATTTAGGTCACTTCTCGAAGTACTGGTCAGATCTTAGAAAAAAGAGATTTGATGTTAATTGACCAGTCAGGGACCACTGTAGCACTGACATTTTGGGGTGAGCAAGCTCGAAAATATGATAAACATTTTGAGCACCAAACAGTTGGAATCAAAGGCGCTTTGGTTCGAGAATATAATGGTCAGTTTTTGTTTATCTTATCTTATCTTAAAGATGATTGCAAGTACAAAAAGAATTGAGAATTCTTAGGTCGGATCAATAAGTTTCGAATTGGAATTGTTTCACTGTTTTATTTCAGGCAGTATTTCTTTATCAACTCTAAGTTCAAGTCGGATTGAATTCAATCCTGATTGTCGAGAAACATCTATGTTATACAGTTGGTACAAAAATATGAGGCCATCGATCAAAACTAATAGTCTGACTTTGTCTAACATGGGAGGTGATAGTTATGGTGCGTTTACGACATTGTTACATTCATTAAATTTATTACTTGCAATAATAACAGTGGTCATTATATTTGCCAAAAAAATTCTTTGGCTCCTAAAAGTCAGCATCAAAAAAGGTTTATTGCATGTATATCATAAAGTAAATTAATTTAATTATTCAAAGATGTTTTAATATAATACGATTTTCGATACTGGAAGCTTTTCATTAAGAAATATGCTTTAATTTGGAAATATTATTTTATCGAAAATCAGGGACCACTGTAGCACTGATATGTTAAGGGAACGTGTAAATATATTTATATAGGTCGAGATCTTCGTGTTATCGGAATTGCTGAAGCAATTGAATTGGGTAAAAATGATGAGAAAGGAGCTTATTTTAATGTCACCGCAATTATTTCTACTGTGAAAGCAGATGGTGCCTTATATAAGGTCATTTTCATAGTTCTATCTTCTTTTGATTAATTTAAATATACGACTACTTTAAAATAGCTCATTTTTTTCTTTTTATAGAGCTGTGGAAATGGAGGTTGTAAAAAAAAGGTTATCGCAATGGAAAACCAGTATCGATGTGAAAAATGTAACATATTGTTGGACACATATAAATATGTCATGATTCTATCGGTTTGTTATTTTTACGACATGGATCTTATAAAATTTACATTTATAAAATTTGTAAAATCTAAAATAACTCTGATGAATCTGGAAAAATATTGGTATAACAGATAGATTGAATAAGAATAATAATGGTTGGAAATTTCAGTGAAAGCGATTTGAATAAAGTTATTTTTTCTCGATCTTTTGTTGGGTTGATAATTATATTTGTGTTTCCAATTCTTTAGGAAATTTGCAATGACATTTTTGTAACTTTAGATGTGTTTTCTATTTGTTCTCTTATCTTAATTTTGCATCTTTCCTTTTCTTTTTTTTCACAATTTTATCTTTGTTATTTAAACAATTTTAGATGGAGATATCTGACTTTTCTGGCACCCATTATGTAACGGTGTTCGAGGATAAAGCAGCAAAGTTATTAAAAATTAGCGCTGAAGAACTCGGTGTTTTGTTGGATAACGATCAAGTAATATAATATTATATAATAATAATATAGCAATATATTTTCTATATATTTAAATATCTAATTAAATATGCTTTAATGTTAAATATAATACGATTTGTTAAATTTCAGACTGAGGAATATAATAAAATATTCAATGCGATATTATTTCGCCAGTATAATTTTCGAATACGTGCAAAGAGTGAATTTTATAATGTAAGTTTGGAGCAAATTAGTTGATTAGACTTGATTTATTAAGACTTCTTTAAAAAGATTTGCTATAATTATGCAAATTTTGATAACTCCATTCATTCTCCATTCCATACGAAAGAAAAATATTTTTTCCTGCCAAAAATGTAGCATTTCTAGCTTTTATTAAGCGCTTCTTTCAATCATTTTCGTATTATTTGGCTCATCATTTATATATTTGTATAAGATTTCATTAAAAAATGAAAAAAATAGTGGTAATTGAACTATTATAAATTATTAGGTCATTTTTCTCATTATGATTTGTGATTCATAAACTAAATAAATTATATTATATTTATTGATTTAAATATATTTTCTAACGATTCACCATTTTTATTTGAGATTATGTATTGGTTGTTTTGTTAACTTAAGGTCAAATGAATTAAGATCTTAGGTCACTTTCATTAGTGGCATTTTCATAGGCTGTTGTTATTAGTTATTAGTTATGCTTATTCAAATTTAATAATTGCTGAGTTCGGCTAAACCATATCTTCATTCACTTTTACGTCTTCTACTTATCAATAAATTCCAGTTAAAAGCAAGTACTGAAAAAATATATGTTTGTGAAATTTGCTATTTTTTTTCTTTAGGATGTTGAAAGGGTAAAATGGACTGTCTTTGATGTTGCCGAGGTACCATACGACAAATACATTGAACAACTGCAGAAAACTATTTCTGTCCTAGAAGTGACCGATAATTTTTTAGAATAAATTTGATCTCCGATTTCCTCCTTTTCTTGTCTTTTTTTCGATGCAAAAGAGGTTTATTATTTTTAAACGAAATAATTGGATATCAATCAATTATCATTTTTCATTGAATTTTTCATTGTTATTTAATATTGAATATTCTCAGTTTTGGTTCTCTTAATTTTTTTACTGATTTTATAAATTTGTATGTAGAATAAAATAAAAGTGATAAAATTTAATTCCACCACCAATTATTTATTCAAAAAAATATGAGTAAAATAGGACAACATAGAGATAACAACAGAACAATAGTCAAATAGATAAAAGTATAACGAAACAAAAGCGAAACATTGAAAAAAAAAAATTCATTAGTTATGGTTATAAATGATAAAAATAATTAAAAATGACAAAATAAAAATGAGCGAGAGTTTCGAGAAATAATATTCAAAGCTTTCCCTCATAGCTGATTGAACCCATAAATAAATCAACTGTGTACCATGAGCGAGTTTATTTTCAAAAAATTCCCGTATCGTTTTTCGATAAGACAATTCAAGTAATTAAAAAAAAATGAGCAGAATTTTTGTATAAAAAAATAAATTTAAAATATAAATTTCTACTCGGATTTTAGTTGTACAAAAATGAAAAAACAAAAAAAAAAACAATGGAAAAGAAATAAAAAACTGAAAGCCGTTATGCAATTATTCGATGAGCAGTTCAATTTACCCGAATCAATCGCTGTATTGAACAAATAACAAATTGAAGGTAATTCGATAAGTTGACGAAAATTTGTTTCATGAAGTTTTTCTCATTCGATAAGCGCCGCATCCTCTTGAAAAAGGATTAAATCGGTGGAAATGGCGGATACATGAATGAACCAGGCGGTGGTGGTTGCGGTGGAAAATTCGAATTGTCTCTCAATAGCATTTCTTGCTGCGAATACGATAGTGCTTTATAACGATTCATTTCGCTTTCCAACTATAAAAAAAAAATTGTTAAGAATGAGGAAAATCATTCTTAACAATGATAATTTATCATAGTAAAGAGGAGGAAGAGGGTTGGTTGATTTTATTGTATTTACAATATATTAATATACTTATATGATTGGCTGAAATGAGATATAAAGAGAGGGCGTTTACGTTCGACTGAAAAAGGATATATAAAAATGGAGAGGAGAGGGTGAGGAGGAGGGAAAAGGAAGGGGATTCGCCTACGTCTTAAAAAATCTTCATCTTTCAGATGGATGAAAAGTTTTCGCGTTGATTTGGAAAAAAAAAACGATAAGATTTTTACGTATTCGGAACGTTGCCTAGTTAGCGCTAATTCGTTCGTTAAACGTTGCGTTTCTTTCGACATACGTTCGATTGTTAATTGCATTTGCCTTTCACGTTCACGTCGATTGCTTCGTGATTTTTTCGCTGCTAAATTGTTTTTGTCTCTTTTTTCGCGATATCTGCAAAATTTATTTTTTTATTTTTGTTTTTTGCAAATTTTTATTTTTTGAAAAATTTTTAGAACAAAATTCAAAAGTTATTTTAAAAAATTTTTTTATTGCTTTATTATTATTTATTATTATTATTTGAGGTAAAATTATTTAAAAGTTATTATTTAATTGCTTTAACTTTAATTTTTCAATTCGTATTTAAATAATATTTAATAATATTAAAAAAAAATTTAAAAAAAATAATTTTGCAAAAATTGATATTCAGCGATCGCTGTTGTATATAACGAACTTCTTTTTTACGATGAAAAAACGCTTTCATTGTTTTTCAAAGAACAAAAAAAAAGAAAATTTACCTGAAGAAACATATCTACAAATAGTTTTTCGTATATTTAGTATATATAATAGTAAGTGAAAAAATTTTTATAAAATTGAAAATTTTCTAAATTTAAAATTTTTTTAAATTGAATAATATTAAAAATGAATTTCGTAGAGACTTGCATTTTACATTAAAAAATTTTCCTTAATTTTCCTTTTTTTATTCTTTTTATTAAATTTTGAAAAATCAAAAAAAACAAATTTATAAAAAAAAACAATCGGAAAACTTAGTCCAACTTTCTGCGAGCCTCGTCATCTAAAAATTCTAGCATTGTACTTCGCTGCCTTGGAATATTTTCATTTCCAATATTGTTATATGGACTGAGAACACTTTGCACTTGAAAATTCGATTGGATTTGCTGTTGCTGTTGCTGCTGCTGTGATTGCGATTGCTGTTGTTGTTCCTGTTGTTGCTGTTGTTGTTGCTGTTGTGGATAAGAATAGGCATCCATAAAATAACGTTCTTGATTCATTGGAACTAAAAATGGATTTATTAAAAGTCGTGTGGGTGGAGTATGCGAAAAAATTAAGATGGCCATTTTTAAGGAGAGAATTTTTTAGAAAGATTTTTAAAAATTTTTCTAAAAAATTTAAAGCTAAAAAATTACGGTAGGAAATTTCACATTTATTTATACCGCTAAGCCTAAGCCTACAATAATTAATAATAATTTAATAATGTATTATTAAATTATAATAAAATAATAATAAATAATAATAATTTATTCTTTATTCCTATTCAAAAAATGGCAAAAATATGTTATTATTTGAGAAAGAAATAGTACGAATCAAATTTTCTTGATGAGTTTGGAATTCAAAAAAAAAATTCGACTAATTTTCGATAATTTATCGTTCTTACTTTATGATTTGAATATTTATTATCTAAATTATTATTATTATCATTTGTTGCTTTATTTCAGTAAAAATTCTCTTATAATTAACGGCCACTGGCGCAAACTTTAGGAGAAATAGTTGGAGCCTATAAAACTGCATTTTCTCTTCTACCATTTAGGCAATTCAACATGGTAAATATAAATGTATCAATGCGCTAAGTATGGCGGGCAGCAAGGTGATTCTTAGATAAGAATAAGGAAAAATATCGGTACCAATTTTTTTTAAATATTTGAAAGAAACATTTGCAAGAAAATTGCATTCAAATATTAGATTTCTTAAACCCTAATTCTTTAAAGTAATTCCAATAATTCCAGTACAATATATTTGTTGGCTATAGTAGGCTGTAATATTTATTTGAAGATATAATTTTTTTTTTTTATTGTTTCTAGTCAATGCATCGAAATGATGAGAAAAATTCACCTTTTTTTTATGATCTTATAAATTTTCTATGATAGAATTTGGTCATAAATTTAACTACTCTAATTTTTACTTTTTTGCCTTTAATTGGTTCTAAGTTATGTTACAAAGAGACTTACATTCTTGCAATTTTTTCCCGAATTCCACTCTTAAAGGGATTCTTCGTTCCCTCAAAAGATACCCTTGTTTGATTCAATGTTAGCAAATACTGAAAATTTCTAAAAAGTATAAAATATTTATCGAATTCACACCACTGATCAAGTAATTTGAGTAGTTCATTGTTGATTTTTAAAAGTTTTACTTTTCCACCTTCTCTATTTTTCATTTAGACCAAAACGGGGCAATTTCCATAATTTTTTTATAAACTAAAATTATATATTTATTTTAAATTTTTTTCATTATAGCTTAGTTTATTAGTAATGCTAAGGAATTCGAATAAAATTAACCTAAATGGAACCAAAGGTGATAAAATATGAAAAATAATCCTAATAGAACCAAAGACGATAAAATAGGATGAATGGTGCATGAATTAGTGCAAAGATATTAACTAAATATTAACAATTTATGAAATGCTTTAATGGTGTTAAAAATTATATCGGAATATATGTATACGGTTGAGGAATAATAATAGTTAAGCAGTGTTAGATGTTTCTTTGGATTTTAATGAGTTTAATGATTTGCAGTACATACATGCAACTGGAAATATTTTATTCTTGTTAATAACGTTATCATTTTATTAGATATTTGAAATTTATTGCAAAATAAGTAAAGTAAGAATCTCTGGAAATTTTTTTTTTTTGTGAAATGAGTTGTATATTTGTTTCCAATTTTCCAGTTTTTACAGATCGGCTTCCATCGCTTCTTTATTCCATCGTAAAATTTCAATTCACATCGAATTTCGCCGTCTATAAGCCAATATTGTGGTTTTTTCGGCGCACCAAAGTGGAACTTATTTTCTCCACTTTCGCAGAATTGCGAAATAACCAAATAGAAACAATCGGAAACAAAAAATTAATGTTAGTTTCTTCGAAATTAAAAAAATTAAAAAAATAAAAAAACTAAAATTTCAAAAAAGAAGGAATAAAATAAAATAAAAGAAAAAATAATGGAAAATATTTTGCAAAATATGATAATATGATGATATTTTGCAAAATACAAAATATGAAACGAAAATAACTGAAAATATTTGAGATATTATCGTTAATCATAATGTTTCACTTACTGCTTCGAAGAGATTTTTTTTGAAGAGGTGGCGCGAAAATGATAAATTGCTGATAAGTTGTTGATAACGGAGGTTAAAGGTTAGATTCTTTTTTTTACCGGTGTTAACCTTTTTTATTGTTTTTTATTGTATTTGATTAAATATTAATTCAGTAGTAGTAAGTCATACGTAGTTAGTTTATTAATTCATGCATTTGTATTTTACTGTTATTTAGGTTTTGGAAAAAATTAGATAACTGTGATGTGGATAACTTTTATATATTTCAGCCTAGTAAACGGCCGATATAAATTAGTGTTAATATTTTTAATATTTGTTAATTAATTCGTAATATAGGGAAAGATAAGATATTTTTTCATAATTTATCTTTTTTATAGAACTGTAAGAAATAATGAAAAAGTATTTAACAACGATCATTATCAGCAATACTCAGCCAAACCAGTGATTGTGAAAGTTGTTGAAAATTTGTATGCCAATTTAGGCGGGAAACATTAAAATAATTATTTTTAACTAAAGCAATTTCACAATAGATCAAAATAAATCATAGAATATGCCCTCAAGGCCTCGAAGCCTCTGGTGAAGGATCCGAGGATGATCTGCATCGTCCAGAAGGATAATGGAAGATTTTTAGTTTTTTATGCAAATCGCAGATCAGAAATTTTAACCTTTTCCTTTAGAAGCGCTTACCATTTTTGGTTAAGCTCGCTTCATTATTGAATAATAGTTATATTCCTATTGGGAACAAAAGCCCCAACTTCAACATTCCAAAATCACAACCACCCATTGAACGTTCTAACTAACCCTTAGTTCGCAAAAAACCAAATTTTTTGGTGCCTAAATAGAGCTTATTAATGCATTTTTAATTTTAGAGCTCTCAATATTACTAGTTAGTTAGATCCGCTCCGCTGGCTTATCACACTAGACAAATACACCAAAGAGTCCCTTGGCGATAGAATTATAGGTGAATCGTCAGCTTCACCGGGACTTCTGAACAGATTTGCTCTTGCAACGAGTAGAATCTCAGTATTGGCGCTTATTAATACTAATATTATTGAAACAATAATTCGTGAAACTCTTTTAAAATTCGAAATTTTAATAATAAATAAAGTAGCGGAAATAATTTTTAAGAAAATTGCATAAATTATAGCAAAGAACGCCTTTCGTTGAACGCACATTGAGCAATAGCGGCCATGCAACGAGGTCATTTAAGCGGGGTCATTGTGAAGCGTGAGGTCACTACGAATATAGAATCACTTCCATTCATAATGGCATTAATTCTAGAGAATTCAATCGTTGGAGAACGATTGCATAAGAGAAATAAACAAATTACCACTGCTAATAATGGTATGCGCACTATTTTTAAACGTTGTCCCATAAAATTGTATTTAACATCGCATTTATAAAAGATACGTCGAGTTGAACGGATAGTTCATTATAATAGAATTTGTAGCATATAAGTACTTTTATATGAGTAATTATGAAGATAGAATAGCGGAGTGATTGTTGTCGAACCAGTATTATCACCGTTAAGACCAAATTGCTGTGGTACCCACCTAAAGTTTCAGCCCAACTAATCCATTGACAAGCATCTTCCAACATAATTGAGCCTAGCCAGGAATGGTAGTCTCTCGTAACCACTATACCTACAAATAATCTATTTACTAAATAGGGAATTTATTTTTTTTATCGTTGAAGCCAGTGGAGCCAACTTAATCAGTAATGCTTAGAAGATGAAGAGTATAGAGGCAGTATTTCGCTAGAGTAGTAACACTATGTATCATAAAAAGTACCATACCACTAGCCATGGTTTAGAACAATTTATCGTTATTTTATTGTATCTCCATTCTACATATCTCCATTATGCTTATGCACTGTTTGGTTATTTTTTTTAGAGTCCTCACCATTACTGATTAAATTCGTTTCGCTGACTTGTCGCATTGGGTAGTGTGTCAGGGAAATCCCTTGGCGATAAAAATACAAGTGAGTCGCCAGCATCACCCCGATTCCTTCGGGAAATAGAAGCTCCGAATCTAGCAACAACGCATTGAGCCATTCTATCCCCTTACACTATTTGGTAATATAAGACGAAGGACTGAATTTGTTATACAAGGTTAAAAAGAATTCGGACAAAAGAAGTTTTTATACTGATTTAAGTATAACTTTATTGGCATATTTATCGGCAGATATTGACTCTGTACATTCTTTTTTTTATATCTAAACAGGATTGTTAGCTATTCTTTTTAACAAATATGGTTTAAATGCGACATAAATTTCTGATAGCTAAAATAATTGAAGCCAGGTTTTAATAATCTTCGCATTGCGCCTAAGGCAAATTGTTCATTTTTTCGTTATTTTTAATTAATAACTGATGCAAATAGCTAAAAAAATAACATAATATTTTAATATAATATATTTAATTGAGAAGTAATGATAAAGAAGAAAACCTAGTGATATAAAATTGAACCGAAATTTAAAATTTATATCTGTGAGGGCAAATAATTTAAATCCATCTATTTATCTATCAAAATCTTAAATTTGAATCGCATTCGACTTTAAATAAATCAGCAGCAAGTTTACGGAGTTAAATTAACAGAGTCTAACTGATAAACTGATGAATCTGATAATTTTAGTGGCTAATTTCTGTTGAAAAGAATTTATTATTTATTATTTTTTTATTTTTATTTTTATCTAAAAATTTTAATAATTTTAACAATTTTAATTTTAATTTTATAAAATTTTTTTTATATTTCCAAACTTTTTCAACTAATTCAATAACTTTGAATTCGTATTTTAAGAAAATTTTATTTATAATTTTTCATTCAATTTTTTGAATTTAACGAATTCTTAATATATAAGTAAACCTTAAATAACTGTAAAAACTCCAATCAATATGCACGAATTACCCTAAACTAATAATCCATGTTT